AGGGGGGGGGAGGATGGAGAGAGGGGGTCACACAGAAAGTTCTGCTCATTTTTTTTACACGGAACATGATTTTCACCTCTCCTTAAGTACAGAGATTATACAGTTTAGCACGCATATTGTGAGATGGATGGGACTCGCATGTAGTCTTTTCTTCAATGTGTACGTGTTTTAAATACAAAAAATATGTATACCCTTGTATGAGAAAACATTTGTGACATGAAAGTCTGTTAGCTGTGTGTGTGTGTTTCGCTTTGTGCGTGTTTGACAGTGTGTGTGTGTTTGACAGTGTGTGTGTGTTTGACAGTGTGTATGTTTGACTGTGTGTGTTTCGCTTTGTGCGTGTTTCGCAGTGTGTGTGTGTTTCGCAATGTGCGTGCTAGACTGTGTCCTTCTTTCAAGTCTGTAAATGTCCTAAGTTTTTGCTTGGAATGAGTTGACACGTGTGGTGTGCTGTGTTTTGTGTGTGTTGTTAACTCTTGCTGTGTCTTGAGTTGTGGACACACGGTCACACTGGTGCAAACAGAGCCCGCAGGGTGTCAGCTCTTGGTGTGCTCAGACTCAGAGTGAACTAGAAATCCCAGGTGGTGAAAATTTTCAAACGTCTTTGTTGATGATATGGCAGAAATCTGGTGAAGTTTGAGCGAAGGAATGCAGTAATGTTTGCTGTGTTTCCGGTCATTTGACCCAAATGTCGTGAAAGTTGCGACAAAAGACATAAGTGGGCGTGTCATTTCGTGAATGTAGTGTGTTTAACAGATTAACAGAGCTAAAACAGCACCTTGACATGGATGGCTGGTGCCTCTTTCATCTAAAATAAATTATTGATGGTCTTGTGTATTACAGACTGCTTGGTGTGTTGTTTGCTTGGTTCTGCGTCGTGTCATGTCCTAGTGCAAGTTATTACTACTGCTGCGAATGTCCATAGTCCTTGGTGGGGGTGAATTTGGGTACTGTGACAGTTTACAGCACAGTACGCTACGTTATATTGTTCATAATCTGCCATTACGGTACATTACCTTGTTTATGTTGTACAATTACGGTACATTATCTTGTTCATGTTCTGCCATTTCAGTACATTACCTTGTTCATATTTTGTTCATATTCTGCTCGAGTACATTGTTCACGAAATAATCAAGTAACAACACTTGGCTCCGTTGTTACGTTCTTTTCATGAACTAATCACCATGCTAGGATTTTGTTGTTGGAAGATATTGTCCAACTTGTGGTACTTGTGTTTGTGTATGGTGAGAGTTTTTTAGATTGAATACGCTTTTTTAAACTTGTGGATAGTTTGATGTGTGAGTGTGGTGTATTGTGTTAGTGAGTGTGTCATAATGTGTGAGTGTGTGAGTGTATTGTACTGTGTGAATATGTTGTTATGTATGAGTTTGTGAGTGTGTTGTAATGTGTGGTGAGTGTGTTGTGCAGCAGTGATGACTGTCAGCCGTTGATGCCACTTTTGGCGGCTCGGAACTTTGCGTCTTTTCCTCCGGTTTGTCATGACCACTGTCGGCATTTAGTTACTGGTAGAAGGGCAGACAACTGTAAGTGTAAGATAATGATGAGTCCTGGGTGCAGCACAGACCCGACTTTTGCTTTCTCTCTCTCCCACTCTCTCTCTCTCGTTTTCGCTCTCGCTCTCTCTCTCTCTCTCTCTCTCTTTCTCTCTCTCTCTCTCTTTCTCTCTCTCTCTCTCTCTCTCCCTCCCTCCCTCCCTCTCTCCCTCCCTCCCTCTCTCTCTCTCTCTCTCTCTCTCTCTCTCTCTCTCTCTCTCTCTCTCTCTCTCTCTCTCTCTCTCTCTCTCTCTCTCTCTCTCTCTGGCATCATAAACGGTCAGCAATGTCGACAGCAGGCAGGAACTCAACACTTGCTCGGGGGTCCCTGAATAGTGCTGAGCGTGGGTCCCTGAATTGTCTTAGCAGACGTGTAGTTGTCTCTCCTGAGACTGTGGGAGGTAGGGGAGGGGAGGGGAGGAGGGAGGGAGGAAAAGAGAAGTGGGAAGTCAAACTGTGCCGATATCACTGACAGCTGTCTTAGTCTGTCTTCTTAGATTTGAAAGTGTCAGTGTCAGCAGAAAATCAACAAATGTTATCGTGTTATTATTTGGAACAGTCTGACCATCGGTCAGCTTTTCCCACAGTGTTGGCTCTCAAATAGATTATATGTGAGGCAGCGTGGTGGAATCAGGCTCTCGTCAATTTTTGGGCATGTAGCGTTATTGGTATCATCTTAAAGCTTGTTCACTTGTCTTTATTTGGTTGAAAAAAATACCCATTTATCTTGAATACAAGTCGAGATATTTGTGATTGAAGAAGGTGGGGGTCACCTGTTTTCAGAGGTAAAATTAGTGAGAAAATGGCCGCCAAAGGTTAGTTATTTCCATAGCTTAGTTGGTGGTAACTGAAAATTTACATTTTTATGCCTTTAATCAACGTTTTTCAGAAAAATCCACACAGAAATGAGTTCTTTAATGGGCATGAAAGGTGTTGAGCCAAAAAACAAAAATTTAATAAAAAATTCACAAACCTGCGGAAAATTGCAAGTTTCTTCATTTTGATTATTTTGACGAGAGCCTGATTCCACCACGCTGCCTCACATAAAGGACTTGTTGAGTTTTGGGTTCTTGAACAAAAGCATTGGGAAAATGGCCGAAGGACCGGACTGCTGCTGTGCTTTATGAAGGAAACATGATGAGAGGATCATGTCTGTGTGACTATGTGGGCTTAAGTAGGAAGTACGATGTCGTATGTAACTATAATGAAAGCTGACATAAATCTACTGACGATGCTGTGGCGTCCAAAGTGAGCTCATCTCGACAGTCTCTCAGTCAGTCAGTCAAGTTGTGTTAATAAGTTACTGTTACTACGGTACGGGTCTGTTTGATTGTTTGTTTGTGTTGCTGGTTTGATCAGTGACAATGTTGTTATGGCCAGTCATAGATTACAATAGGATGCTGTGCTATTCTGTGCTATTATTATATTTTATTACTGCTATACAATAATACATACATGATACAATTGTACCGGCCTGTAGAATATAAGCTGTGGTACTTTGTGTTTGACCGCTTGACCGAGAGTGGTG